CATCACTACCACCATCATCCCCACCACCATCACCACCACCCTAACCATCACTACCACCACAACCACCATCACCATCACCACCACCATCACCACCACTATCACCACCACCACCATCATCACCACCACCACACCTGAAAAACTGCATGGCCTTGGCCCATTCATGGAGCAGCCTTTGACACACCAGCGTCTTCCCCGTGCCCAGGTCCCCCTCGATGAGCACACGGCGACATCCTGCCTTGCTCTTCTGAGACAACGACTCCAGAGATGCATTCTCCAACCTGGGTAAGACACGTTGGTGATCATTTGCATGTGAAATGTGGGGTTTGTAGGTCACTTTATGCTATAGGATATTATTAATTTTTGGAAGAACGTTTCAAGACATAACACTGCACACTATGACAAAACATAACAGATCTTCACATAACATGACAGGACATCATAGAACACTACAGACACACACGTACATCTCACGATATAAGATTTCTAGAAAAAAATATTTTACGAAAACGTTAAACATTAGATTTTCTTTTATCGTTTAAATAATTTTTAACTTTCCTCCTATCAAAATGTAGGTGGTTGGCGGGAGCTTTGGTATGGTTCGCTTTTTCTTTCCTATCAGGCATCTATAGTTCTTATCTCTCCTCCTTTTGTTTCTTTGTTTATCATTTTCTAGTAGTAACACCTCTAACAACCTAATCTGCGACACCAATATTACCTATTTATGTTGCAAGTGCCGTGAAATTCTTACTAAAACTAAAATTAAACTATTAAAGAGTTCAAATACTGAGTACATGTCCACTTGACCTTGCCAAAATCTCCCCAACACCTTGAAGTGTTCAGAACTCAAAGGATCCATTTACACCTATCCTTTCAGGTGGAAAAACCGAAGGGGTGATACAATCTCCTCTCTCACCCCCCTCCTTTTTACTAGATAATCCTGTTAGTGCCAGCTCAAGAATTAGCAGCGGTTACAAGGCGCCTGGTGGGCTCGCAGGTTACCCAGAATCCCCCACTGACATTGATTAATGAGGAATGGTGATCGTAAACTCATTGAGACCTCTCCTTAGAAGCATGCCCCCTTCGGAGCGCAGCTGTCTTGAAATCCCCCCCAACTCCCCTCCCCCTCTACTTCCTCAACCTTGAAAGTAGTTCTTTCTCTCGTTATGAGATCGTTGAAACCCAGCCGGCCATACCGGACTGGCAGTGTTTACAATTTTGTTTTGGTCAATATGGTTGATAGGAGGAGAAAGGTAACATTTTTCACGAATTAAATAAATTTGCTATTTCTGAACCACGATTCTTCTTCTTTTTCTTTAGGTATCAGATCTGGAGGAGATATTGACATTCATGGTATTCTATTCCTTCTCCTGATTAGCTCAGTGTTTTTCATTACGTTGTTTGTCATAAACTTATTCAGACTACCAGTGTATGTTGTTCTCTATCTTTCAATACAGTAGTTTCTCAGTACATTAATTTTGTTCTATTTTTGTGCTTAAAAAATATCAATTGTCTTTCCCTGACGGTTCTGATTAGAACATTTTTACACCCTGCCCTTCAGAGTACTACTGTGCTTGTTTTCACGTCTATGAGATTCTGAGTACACGTTGTAAATGCCATATTTCGGTAGTTGCCAGTCTACTCCAGTTATTTATTTTATCTAGATAATAAGGAGAGCGAATGAACTATATCATTTCCATCTTTATTTGGAACGCATGTAGATTACTTTAGAAAAACCTCAAAATACTGCGTCTTGAGGTGAACATCGCGCTGTATCACTGAATCAATTTGCATACCTTTGTGCTTGGAGTACCACAGGAGAAAAGAAAAACGGAGGGCCGAGACGTACAAAGTATTTAGACCAAAGATTAAGATCTGCCCGATGCTAAGAGTACATCTTGATGCGGCTAAACATTTCATAATTGAAAAGAAACCGTTTCACGACACTATTTTGTCCAAAGTGCACTCTACGATAGCTAAGCAAACTTTGGACAAAACAGTTCTGAGGCGATGACTCTTTGACAAGTCTAGTAAGATACTCCCCCGTACCCGCCCATCCCCCGTCCTCGCCCCGATTCCTTTACCTACTAAGTCTCGGGAAGATTCAGCGAATTGAACAAGAATCTTCTATCAGTAATGGAATTGGAAATACTTCAGTACACGATAGTGTTATTAAAGGTGCAATGACCGGTGTTTGTGGTGCAGCAGTTAGACGCTTCGCAGTCTCATGCAATAGACCTGAGTCTGATTTCCATGTGGGGAGAATTAAGTTTTATCAACTATCTCGGTCTCTCTGCTAGGACGTTGTATCCCTCTCAGCTTGGATTGGCCCTGAGAGGCAGGGCAACGCCTACCTCCCAAATGATCTAAACTGTGTCGATAGGATGCGTAAACATAAATATAATAAAGTACACAAATATTTTATCTTTGATATAGGGTATTAATCACACCTGCGTTAACACATCTACATTAAAAAAAAAAAAGTTTTGATATAAGCGTTCATGGCATGAGCTACAGATAAATCTTAATGGTTAGCAGATCTATGAATCTTTGACAAGATAGAATCTTTGATTTATTGCACTAGTCTTTTTATTTGTTTCTTAATGTGCAGGTGCGTTTCTACATTTGAAAAAAAAAATCATCAAAGGGGCGCTTTTTTATTCATCAAAGGGGTCAACTTAAAAAATTAACCAATGGAGTGCGCTGTTAACCCTCTTGGTAGGTATATCATTCTAAGTTAAGCAGCGGATCAACCTGATTCCTTTTTAATGTAGGTGAGTTTTCGTTCTCCCCTTTAAAAAATCCACAGTTTAAACCATTTAAGGGGTGTGTGGGGGGGGGGGGGGCTGGCTTTGCCACTGCATGTAAGGGCCAAACATGGATGGAGAGGGATACATCGACCATGCAGAAACACCATGATACTCTATAACAATTATCTACACATCGGAATGTCGAATTAAGATCTCCCTGCAGCAGTAAAGTGCTAAACGCCACACCACAGACGTCAGTGAGCTTGGTTCGAATCTCTCACGAGGTATTCTTAAATGTTGGGTTGTTTAGCGAAGTGTCATAGGTCCGAACCCGCATGGCTTGGTCCTACCAGACGAGTGTTAAATCGGTGGCTTCGACTCTTAGATAACATTGTTGTGTTTAAAGAGGCAATAAATATTTTTAAAAATTATTTGCCTCTTTTCTCCTATAAAAAAAGATATTGTAACTATTTCTCCTCCGTCCTTCAATTGCAAGTTACCGTCTAGTAACACCTCTAAATTTCGGCACTATTATGACTTTTTTGTGGTGCAAATGCCGTAAAACTAAAACCAAATCGTAAACCCCCCCCCTCCCCAAAGCCAAAAAAAAAAAAAAGAACCCCCAACAAACTTTCGACACCATCACTTAGCAACGCTGTCTAACCTGTAAATCGGGTTATAGGCTGGCGTGTGGTCAGTATGAAGGTCATCTCGTGTCTGGAAGTGCGGCACCCGCTTGAGTTTGAAGAACGACTGTCTAATGGGGAGCGCGTGCTCGAGCTTGCACGTGAGGCGGTCAGTGCGGGAGGCGTGGTCAGCGTACACGCGGGTCAGACAGGTGCAGATGACGTCATTCATGGCAGACGGCATCTTGGTTTGTCTGGCGTGGTATCAGTTTAGTGAAGACAAGAACCACCTCAGGTATCCTGAAAAAAAAAGATAAATTAAATAGGAAGAAAGAAAACTCACTAGAAGTAACAGACAAAATAAATAAGTTAAGTTTACTTTTTCCTCAAACGAAAAAGAGGAAAACAATGATTAAAAAAAAGATATTATACAATAGCGGGTATCCCTGTAGTATATGAAGGAAAATCATAGGAACTTCAATGTTCATGCAGAAACAACTTTAAAAAAGTGACATAGATTTTCAGGTACTAGAAATGAAAGAGAAGAACAATAGAGGGAAGTCAACGCATGAAAAGTAACCCAAAGAGAAACAAAAAAGAAACATATATTCATAAAAGCAAATCGTTATCCTTTGTTTGAAAGAGGGAGGATTAAAAAGAACTCTTAATACAACGACGTGTATCCAAAACAAAGTAAAAGAGACCTGAAATCCTACATAATACAGAAGAAAAGATATCTACAGCAAAGTCAACTCACTGGAAGTAACAACTAAGTGAAAATAACATTCATTCCGTACCCTAAAAATCAAAGCGTAGAAAATAATTTTTGAAGGGAAGTCAAGACCTAAGAAATATCTGACAGAAAGTCTGACTTCAAAATCTGGTCTGTCTATGCGAGACTAGGGTGGAAAAATGGATGTGTTTCCCTCATCCCCTCTCCCAACCTCCCAGGACAGCCTGGGGTAGAGCTAGAATAAACTACGTAGATTATAAAAGCTTAAAAAATTAATTATGAAAACAGATACTAGAAGATCTAATTATTATTAAAGTATTCGTTTCTCTTATTGCTTCATGTTATTATTGAAATATCATTGTACTTACTCACATTCTCATAGTCAGTGATTGTCTGATACGAATAAGAACTTTAATATGAAAAAGTTTTTTTTTTAAATTAGAAAAAAATGAAAAAATATATATCAAAGATAAAAAGGGGGGGGGGGGGGGGGAATCCTACCCCCCTACAAACAACACCCCCAAAAAACAAACGAACTAAATATCAAACAAGAAAAAGCCCCCACAAAGGCAAAATAAACTCGATGGAAATCAACCATTCATGATGATGGCTTGGCTCAGGTGGATATGTCTTGATCCGCTCAACGGTAAGTATGAGTCCACCTCAAGCATTCAGGTCAACGACTTACACATGTGGCTAAGTGGGAACTTAATTTGACGTAAAGCCGCGGAAAAGGGCCAAGAAACCTGGCCCCTTTAGAGCCACGCTTTGATTCATTATAATCCAATCCAGTGTTTCAAAACAAAATTAAGGTCTTCCGGTTTGGGACTCCATCCGATTGAGAACTGTTTACTTTATAGACATCATCGTTTCAAAACAAGATCCGTATCTCTA